GGGGTCGCCCGGCGCCGGCGGTCTGTCCGTCACGATCAGATAATTGGGCTCAGGCTGGTGGGAGCTGGAGCGACGCTGCAATGCATGCTGGGTGCAGGAAAAGGAGCGCTGCCTGGGGGCAGGCTGCGGCGACAGATAGTGAGGCGTCGTGGCTCGGGGGATGTCGTGACTCCTGTCGCGGTCCTCGTCTTCCGAGGTCACTTCCTGTAATGTGCTGATTGGCCGAGGGGGGCGGCCCATGATTCTCGGAGGGACGAGCGCGGTCGCTGATTGGTTCAGCTGCGGTCGCCAGCTCTGAGGGGAGGGATACTGTAATCGACCCGTCGACCAATCACTGCCAATCAAGACACAAAGGTTGTTGTGATACACGACCATTAGAATTCAGTTAATTACATTAAAAATAAATACATAAATAAAATAAATAAATAATTCAGTTAATGCCTGGAAACAGGACCGCATCGACAAACAAAGAGACAACTTATTTAACTGATCCGCTTTATCATTTCTAAATCCCAGATCAGATTATTTTAAATGTTAAGCAGCATAAAAAAAAGGTCAAAGTTTTATATTGAGTGTTTTTTATTGTGTAAATGATGAGTCAGTATTTAGGAATGCTGAGTCAGCATTCACACTATAGTTGTCCTGTTTCTCTTTATTCTTCTCTTTAGGTTCCTCTGTAGTTTTTTGGACTCATCTTTGTGCGTTTTTAACTATTCATACATCAAAAGGTTTGTTTCGATCCAGATTTCTTGTTTTGTGTCTTTTGTAACTTTGAATCCTTTCAAAATGTTTAACTTTATTTACAAACTGTTCTTCACAGAGATCTCCACAATTCCTTCAAAAACATAAATCTGCTTCAGCAGTTCTCTTTTATGCTACTTTTAGCTTTTAACGAGCCATTTGCTGATTTAAGATTAGCCTTTTGCTAAATTTAGCTTTGAATTAACTTTTCAAAACTTTTAACTAGAGTTTTGCTACTTTTAGCTTTCAGCTTGTGTGTTGCTTTTCAAGTCTTTGTCTTGCATTTTGCTACTTAAAGATAAAGAAAGATCATTTTGGATGGATGGACGGTTAGAAGCTAGCATTTTGTTACTTGTAGCTAATAGCGTGCTACTTTTAGTTAGCGTTTTGCTACGTTTAACAGTTAGCTAGTGATTTGCTACTTTAGCTTTTAGTTGATATTTGGGTTTTTTGACTTTCAGATAGCTCTGTTTTACTTTTAATTAATGTTTTGCTATTTTTATCTTTCAGCTAGTGGTTTGCTTCCATATTGTTTTGTAATTAACTTTTAGCTTGTGTTTTGCTACTTTTAGTCTTTAAAAGTTTGCTGCGATAAACTAGAATTTTGCTACTTTTTCTTTTTAGCATTGTTTGCTACTTTCAGCTAGACTAACTACTTTTAGCTTGTGGCTGTCATTTTGGCTTTCAGCTAATCTTTTATTACTTTTAGCTACTGTTGGGTGTTTGCTGCACGTTGTGCTCTTTTAGCTTCTTGTTGTTCTAAAAGCTTAGTGTTTCGTCAGCACGTTCTGACCGTTATGTCTTTCTGCAAAAAATAAAGTTTTAGTGAAACATAAAACTATTTAACAAATTTTCCACCTTTATTTAATGTCTTGTAAAACCTACTTTTGTTAAAATGGATCAGAGTTTCTCCTCTAACGAGCTGTTTATGGTGTTAAATCGATGAATGGGTTAACGTTGGGAACGCTCACGTTTGCGGTTGTGGGCTCATGTCTCGATGGCCAACCATTCCAGAGAAGGAGGCGCTTCTTCCAGGCAGGCCCTGCGAGCCGACCCAGGTCGAGTACATCAGAGCGTGCTCCTCCCACGTCATGTCGCTGACCGGGGGGATGGGGACGGGTCTTCTCTGCATCTGGTGAGCCAGCAGGAGCTCCAGGACCTGGTGGTGCATGGCTTCTCGGGCCACGTCCATCGGACGGCGACCTCTCCGGTCGTGAAGCTCCAGGTTGGCACCATGAAGGAGGAGAAGCCTGGCGGTGTCGTAGCAGCCGTGCAGGGCAGAGAGGAAGAGCGCCGTCTCGCCCTGAGGGGAAAGATAATATACAAAATGATTATAAAGTTACAGGGAAAGTCCAGCCTCTTAACATTCTAAGGTTTTATGTCTCTGGACATAATAAAATAATCTGACCTAGAACTGAAAGAGGTTAAACTTTGTTGTTCCTTGGTTGCAAATAATCTAGATTATGACAAATAGGTATAAAATAGGTGCATAGGCATTTGATACGGTGGATCACAGGATCCTGGTAAATATTCTGCTCAAACTGGGCATCTCCAAAGAAGCAACTTACTGGTTTGAGGATTAGTTGGCAAACAGGACATACTGTGTACAGATGGCTGGAGTAAGCTCATGTTTTCTTAAATTAAAAAAGGGTGTACTCCAGGGCTCTGTCTTGGGGCCCAACTTATTTACAGTTTACGTTACTGCGCTGTGTGAAAATTTGCAACATGCCTCCTACCACTTTTATGCTGATGATTGTGTAATTTACCGTTGTTCAAATTCAATTGCTCAGGCATTGAATTTTTTACAGGCTGCTTCTGATTCGTCTTGAGCAACTAAAATTGGTTTTAAATGCTGATGAATCTAAAATAATGCTTTTTTCAAATTCGTTTGTCCCATTGGAGAACACTCCTCTAATAAAAGCTGCTCAAAGGTAAAGGTCTCGAGAGGGTCTCTATAAATACCTGGGCTTAATTATCGATGAGGAGCTTTCTTTTAAATCTCATGTGAAACATCTAATCTCCAAATTAAGGGTGAAGCTCGGCTTCAGAAAAAAATTATGTTTCTCCTTTAGAGCTGAAGCTTTTGATCACATCTACTTTTTTACCAGTGCACGATGATGGCGATGTGTATATGTGTGCTTCAAACATTGTCTGCAGTCTTTGAATCCAGTGGACCACTGAGCATTAAGATTTATCACTGGTTGTAGCTACGCCTCACTGTGACGTCTATCTTAAAACCAGTATGTCTTCCCTGTATAGCAGGCAACATGTACATTGGATGACTTTGGTGTATAAGTCTCTTATTGGCCTGCTTCCGCACCATTTATGTACTTTTATTCGAAGAATGGACAGTAGTTATTTTGCATTTTTATGCTCCTCGTGTGCAAACAGAAAAAGGCAAGAAAGCTTTTAGCTTTTCTGCCCCGTCAGCTTGCAAGCCGAATTAAAACTGACAGAACTTGTTACTTCGAGTGCTTTTTGCAAACTTTTATAAAACCGACGAAGGATATCTTGTCAACAGTGCCTGTGTTTTAGATCTTAAATTGTCATTGTTTTACATTATTATTATTACAACTATTGCCCTTTACTGTTATATTGTATGTTTTTATATATTTCAAAGTCCTATTCTGTGTCTTGCTGTTTGTTTGTTTTTTATGACGTGCGCTACTGCCTTTTCTTGGCCAGGTCACCCTTGTGAAAGGTCTTGATCTAAGTGTTTTTTTAATCTGGTTAAATAAAGGTTTAATAATAAATAAATAACTCAAAGTACCTTGTTGTCTTGGAGGTCCACAGCAGCCCCGTAACGGATGAGGGTCCTTGCCAGGGAGAGGTGGTTCACTGAGCATGCCCAGTGCAGGGCCGACCTCCCTGAGAGAGACGGTGTGAGCGAAGGGGAGGTGAGGGGGACAGAAAGGAGGGAGTCAGCCAGTGGACAACCATTACACAACAGAGTCGAGCCCAGATGGTGAAGAGTTGATAAAGAGGAGGGACGCCTCAAAGCCGGAGTCCAGAGGAGATGAAGGAACACGAGGAAAGAAGAAACAAAGTTCATGAAAGAAAGAAAGGCAGAAGCCCTGAAATGAAGCTGAAGCAAGAAAAACGATGAGCCACAAAGCTAATGTCGATCGACCCCATGAGGACATTAACTTTGTTCTGAATCAGAGGAGGAGAGCAGGGGAGCTGGAGGAGGAGATGAAAAGAAGGGACACAAAAAGAGGACATGAGAGAGGCGGGGTAAGTTACGAGTTTCTCCACCCCTCAGTCTCCAGGAGGCTTCCCCAGGAGACACATGAAATAAAGTCAGGTGTCGTTTAGACAGGTACAGGTGGAGGCCGGTTCAACTCAGGCTGAAAGATCTCAGACAATACGAGAGATTTCTAAATCTATAAAACTTTAAAAATGCATTTGAACTACAGATAATCAATATGATCGATGTCTTCACACAGAAACTCTGAATGTGGCTCTAAAGCAACAAAAGCAGGTTTTTTTTATGCATCATTGTTTATAATGTCTTCTAAATAAAGTTTTGGTGTGAAGCCAACATGTGAAGGTGAACATTCAAAACAAACCTGGAAGCTGAAGGAAAATAAATGATGCCAAAACAACACCAACAACTAATAAATACAAGTATTACCAGTATGGTCTGTGTTGTTGACTGGAACTCCTGCCTGCAGCAGCTCCAGGACCACCCGGTCCAGTCCGCTGCGCACGGCTCGGATCAGAACCACAGACCCATCTGGACCACACCACTCTGCCGACTGCCACCATGACACAATGTACACGTTTACATTCAGCCTTTGGTCAAAAGTGTTAAATGATAAGAACTGCGTTTCAACATGTGGATTAAACTAAATAAAAATAATAAAGATAAAAAAAGGACTGACCTGCTGAGGAGGCCACTCCATTTTTTATTTTATCATTTTATTTTATTATTCTTTATTTCAAAAAGGGACTGACCTGCTGAGGAGGACTGAGCAGAGGAGGAGGCATGGCAGTCCTCTCCCATCCTCTAGGGGGCGCTGTGGGCAAAAAAACCAAACATTTATTAAGCAACACTTTTTAGAGCTTAATATGTCTGCCATAAATAAAGCGTTTGAATATTAAAGATTTTAGATTTAATACTTGTTTGGACTAAATTGGGACATTTTATACAAACTAAGTTTGATATCTGTCCAAAGACCTGAGGCCTTAAAAAGTTAAGGTTTTAAGATCATCGTGCACTAAACTCGTGCATCTGATTCCTGTTAATGAGATAAACGTCAGGAATGAGTGAGTGAAACTGTACGCTGATGTAAAGGCCTGTGGGACGGAGAGGGTCCAGCTCGAAACTGTCTCTGCTCCGGGCTCCTGTGGTCACAGATGGCGGCGTCCTCTTGTTGCCTCGAGCATCTCATGTTCATGTCCTCCATTGAACTCTGGGTAAAATCTGTGTCACTTCCTGGATCCTGGTCCCTCCTGAGAGGCCTGAAAATCAAAACTAAATGTTAAAACAACAGCGTTTTTCTGAACTTTGTAAAATAAATCTTTATTAAAGTCACACTGGTTTTGATTTGCCTTATTTCCTTTTTTTATTTATAAGTTAGCAAAATGCTCCGGAGCACGAAAATGCAGAGCCGCCATGTTGTACAGGTAGTTTGTTTTCTGATATGTTAATAAGTACTTTGCAACTTTAATTAGTTATACTGTACATTTACGTTAAGTTAAAATCTAAACCAATCACTCAAAATAAATTTTTAATAACTTTACAGGGTACAGAAAACCAAAGGTTTGATTACAAAAAAAGAAACTTTACTTAATTTATATCTATCAACCTTTTCTAACTCCTCGGGGGAATCCAGAGCTTAGGAATGCACCTGTTATTGTAATTCAGAGCTACAAGTTCTTATGAGTTTTATTATTGACTAACTTCTCACTGATCTTCAAGCAGATCAATTAAACACACAATTGATTATATAAAATGTTACCAAAGGGGAAAAAACTAACTAAAAATGAGCCATTTAGTCAGTCTGGCATGGATCAGATTTAATACACAAATAAAATCCTTAAATATCTGACAGTTAATCCAACAAGTTTTAAGCTCAGCTTTGACTGACTACTGGAGCTCACCAGGGCTCTGTGCTCAGCCTCCTTAAGTTGTCTTCATATAAATTATTAAATGCAGATGGTACTTGCGCATCGTTTATTTTCTTCATAACAGATTTGCTTTCCCTCTTGAAATGCTCATTTAATTCGACAGCTGTTCTCCACAGTGACATCATTCCTCCTGTACACATGACATCCTGTCAGAGCCGCTCCACTCACCGCATCCGAATGGCGTCCTCCCCCAGCGGTTCCCTCCTCCTCTTCCTCTCTGCTTCCTTAGCTTTCTTCTTCTTCCTGAGGCTGATTTTATCTTTCTCCCTGCTGGATCGGACTCGCTCTTGGTGTGCCGTGTGCTGCATCCAGGCCTTCGTTTTGCTGTCCTCTTCATCACTGGTGACTTTGGGTCGGTGTCTCGCCCTGATGCTTCCGCTGCTCTCTGCTTCTCGCCGCTGCCTCACCCTCCTCATCACGAAGACCACCAACAGGGGCAGCACAAGCAGAAGGCCAACCGCTATGGCGACCACAGCCCATATCCATGCAGGCGTCGGCTCTTTTAATGACACAATAAAACAAATTATTAATTTTACCGCTGTTGAGTAATTTCTTTTTTCAATATGTACTTTAAAGCAACATCAGCTTATTTATCACGATCATAAATGTGTGGTACTTTAGGATATGTTCTTAAAAACACTCGTAAATAACTTCTCGTAAACTTTTTATTGAAAAGTATTCACCTGTGTCAAATGATCTCAAAGTGTCAAAAGGTATAAATCATAACAGTCCTCAGAATCAACACCAAGTAACTTGGGCTACCACCAAGCAAAGGACATCATGAAGACCAAGGAACTCTCCACACAGGTCAAATGCAAAGTTGTGGATAATTACAGATCAGGTTTGGGTTATAAAAATGATCACTGAACGCTGAACATTAAACAGAGCTTCATAAAATTCATCATTAGTAAATGAAAACATGATGCCGCCTCAACAAACCTGCTGAGAAAACTCAGAGTGAGTGAGAAGGGCATTAATCAGAGAAACATCCAGCAGGACAACAACAACCTGATGGAGCTGGGCAGCTCTTCTGCAAAGATGGAGTAACTGCCCATTATATGCTGCACGGAGCTGGACTTCATGGAGGCGTGGCAGGAAAAATACATTTATTTAAGGAAAGGAAAACAAAGCTGGAGGGTCTTTGTCAAACATGTGGAAGGTGGTGTTGTGGACAGATGAGACCAACATCAAGAACAACACCAAATACACCACCTCATCATGCTGAGAACACTATCCCTACAGTGATGCATGATGGCGGCTGCATTATGCTGTGGGGATGTTTTTCATGGGGACTGGGACACTGGTCAGAGTTAAAGGAAACATGGATGGAGCAAAATACAGAGAAACTCTTCCAGAGTTGAGACCGGGACGGAGGTTTACCTTCCAGCAGGACACCTCTAAAAATGGTGCTAACCAATAACTCCACTGGTTTAAGGAGAACCAGTTAAAGGTCCTGGAAATGTCCAGTCAAAATCCAGGTCCTGGTTTGATTTAAAAACTGCCGAACACAAACAGAATCTGTCCAACGTGAAAGAGCTGCCGCAGTTTGGTCGTGAAGACGAGACTAAAAGTCCAGGTTCTGGAGACAAGCCTGAAGAAACTCGATGATGCAACTGATGCAAAGGTAGCGACACAAAACACTGAACATTGCAATATTTTTCACTTTTATAAAACTTAGAATCACTTAAAACAGTTATTTTCCATTTGTCTTCATTAATCTGAAGTACCAGTTGTAAATGTGTTGCTTTGAATCTAATTAAAAATTCAGTTACATTGGAGAATTACAAATTATAAGGTAATAAAACAGAAAGAATACCAAGAGGGATCAATACTTTTGCATCTTTCTATAAATCTTGTTTAGGCTCATGTCAATAAAACCACTTCAGCCCATCATCCTATAGTTGGACTGAAGACGGCCTCAGTCACTAAAATAATCAACACTTTTATTGTTTTGGTCTGAATGTGCACATCTTTTGCTTCAGATGTACAAGTTGTGCTTCAGGTCTGAAAAAGTCACAGCCAGTCTACACATTGGAGACACAAAGTTGTTGCACAAAGTTTGGTTTGGATGAAACTTGAAGCTGGATGTGTGCTTGTCGAAGACAGGAAATGACACCGCCTACCTTTGACTTCCATTTCCTCCTCCCTGCTTCCTACTTCCTCTCGGACACCTCTAATACTGATGATGGCCTTTAGCTCCGGGAGGGCGGGGAACGTGGAAGGCTTCAGCAGCAACACAGCTCGTAGGAAACTGGCAGCCTCGGTAGCGTACGGGAAACATGTAGATGGTAACCGGGAGCACGGCCTATTGTCCACCTGGAGGAAAAGAAGCGAGCTAGGAAAGAGACAGAAAGACATTTTATGTAATAACAGGTAGTTTTTGTGGCCTGTCTCAAGTCAGCATGAGAATCTCTGCTTATTTAAGCGTTTATTGACTAACAACATTTTAGTATGCCTTGGACTGTCCAATGGCATCCCACAAGGTTTTGTGTTTGGTGACCTTTAATTATAACACATTGGTAAAAGGCACAATGAGGACAATGATGCAGTTGCTTGTGTGGTTGTTGTTGCTTCTTATGAACCGTTAGACAGACTTTATTGAAACTCTCAGAAAATTATAATTAGTTGCATCTACTTTAATAACTGACCCTCAAAATTGGAGATTGTTTTGAATTGACAAAGCTCCCGGGATAGAAAATGAAACATATGGAATAGAAGTCCAGTTGCTTCATGTTTTTATTATTTTATTTTTTTGGATTTGATATGTCCTGGCTGACTGAGAATCTACCCCAACACAAGTGGAATAGAATGCACATTTGTGCAAGTTGACAGGAGTCCATCTTGATCTGAGAGGCTCGGGTGTCACCAGAAGCAGAATTAAAGAACAAACTTGTAACAGTCTTTCTCTAAACTCTGATCAATGGCCGTCCTCTACCAAAACAGAACAAACAAAATTACGTTAAAGTGAATAAAACTGTAGGAAAATCATGCAAGTTATGAAAAATATAGTAAGATTCCTTGTGCCATAAATTATCCTTCTTTCTGTAAGGTGAGCTTTAATTTGTTGCAATATTCTGCAAACACACTGAAGCAGTCACTCTCTCTGATAACATAAAGCAAAGATTTGTTTGGCCTGAACATACCTTCAGTCATTTATACATATTTTTATTTTTTAGGGAAATCTGGACATATTTCCAACATATTTGGACTAAATAAATTTATTAAATACAAATATCTAGCAGACATTTTGTTTTGATAGTGCTAAAAGGATGAACAAACAAAAACAGTCATTTGTTCAGGATTAATCTGATATTGTTGACAAAATTTTAAACTAATATAAATTCTATGGGTTTCATGTGCCTGAGGCACAGACACATTTTGGGCTTGGGGTTAACTAATTAGCGTTTACTGTTTTAAAATGTGGCGTGTTCCAGCCGCCCATAAAGGCTGGCCTTTGGGAACTTCTCCCTTCTTTCACACGCTCTCTCCTTTTTGGCCCATTTTGTGTTGACTGCTCTCCGCCCTTGGATTTTTTGGGCTTCGTTTGCCACCTTGCTTTATTCTCAGCCCCAAACGATAATTTTTGTTACCTTTTTTCTATACTTTTGTTGTAACTTTAGCCTGGTGGGACCGGTTGTCCTGTTTTTGCTTTTTCTTATACAATAGTTGTTTTTTTTAGGTTTTCGTAGTCTTAGTCCGGTACCAGCAGCGGCTTCGACGGCCCTGTACAGGGTCGGCCCACTGCGGTACCTTTTGTTTTTGACCGGTCCATCTTTCTGTGAATACTTTGGATATATTTTTTGTGTCTTTCTGGTGGACACAGAAATTAGGTGTTCTTAATCATCATCTTCTTTTCCCCTGCAGGAAACCTGTTTAATTTTGTTATAAATTGAAAGTTTGAACCTTTATGTTTTGAGTCCGTGTCTCCTTAATATGTTATGTTCTTGGTGGATGTAACAATGGGCACATCACATTGTTAAACATTTTAGCTGTTCTGTAGCTGCCTTGCACAGGAGCTACTTAAAATGTATCTTTTGTTTTTTAAAGCTCAGTAAAATTAAACAGTTTTTTACCCATTTGAGTCAGCAGAGGAGGAGTGAGCGAGCAGCTCAGCGAGCTCCTGGGGGCTGAAGTCGAACAGGTTCCTGCTTGCAACGAGGCCCACGGAGCCCGTCAGTTTGAGGGGAGACTGGAGGACGACGCTGAGTCTCCAGAGCAGAGGGCTGATGGAGGCGGAGACGTTTTGCTTTGGGATTTTAATGTGGAGGAGCAGAGAGCCTTCAGCCCATATGGGGGTCTGGTGTTTGAAGCAGTCGCTGCCGTCCCAGCCGCAGGCGGCGTTGTTGCAGCCCTGGTCGCAGCGGCCGCTGGCGTAATAAGCCCGGCAGTACTCAGTGTGGCCCGGACTGCGAGTCAGGATGAGGAGGGGATTGTGTGAAAAGACAGAATAAATTACAAGGTGAACAAAATATTCCACTTAACATATGGTACATGTGACAATAAAAATTATATTTGAGGCACGTGTTTGCAACCATTTGTTCTCTGATATTTCTGGGATTTTACTTGCACTGGCCCCGGTCCTTCAGGCAGTCGAAACCATCTCGAAGACACTCGGGCTCCATGCATTCTCTGTCACACGACCCGTCTCCAAACTTGTCCTTACACTTCACCCTGCACTGGCCCCACGGATCACCAGGCACAGCTGGAGAGACAGGAGCAGTTAGGCTACAACCAAACGGGGGCAAACATTGACGGCAGTGGTCCGATTCCTTGTACGTTCAACTCAAAGTGTCTGTTTCTACGCATTCACTAAAAAAAGTTGGGTTTGTTGCTGACATTAAGCTCAGACGCAGCTCAGCCCGCTCATTGTTCCAGACAATCAGCAGCTTTTCATCACAATGCAGGTCAGGCAGCACAAGGTGGGCCCGCTTCAGCCCAGCTAAAGGGGACAGGAAACGGGCCCGACACAAACAGGAAGTTTCCAGAAGAAGTGAATAGCTAAAGGAAATGAAGTGGGTCAGGAACTCGACAAAGGTCGAAGGTCATCACCAAAGTGATGAGGAATGTGATGGAGTCGGACAATGGGCTTTGGCAGGTGTTAGAGCTAAATTAGACATGTTTTAAACTTTGATTTTTTTTCGCTCTGCTACAAAAATAAAATACTCTTATTTTTAAGCAGGGACATATTTAAGAAACTTAAATCATCAATTTTCACTTAATCTTTAACAAGAGTGCGTGGGGGGAAAATATTTCAGATAAATTAAACATTGACTGGTAACAACTTTAAGTAAACTACAAAAAAGTTAAATTACAAACTATATGATGAGTGATTAAAATGTGTGGTTGAGCAGATTTTAGACAGAAACTGCTTCTTTTATAAAATAGATTATTTGTTCAGACCTTACAAAGTTCTGCAAACCGAACAGCTGAGGTTCTTCTGTTGGTAAAAAAAAAAACGACTTGAACTTGGTGTGAAACTCACCTCGACACGTGCAGCTCAGTCCCAGCAGAACAAACGTCCCGAGAGCCAACATGGTCAGGTCAAGACCTGGTCTTCGGTCTGCTCGGAACCACCAGCTCCTCCAGAGTGATCTGCTCAAACCCTGAAGAACCATAAGAAGCTCTCACGAAGTCCAGATCTCATCACTGCTGCTGCCAGACGCCCAGCCCCACTCTGTTCGCTCACTCGAGGCCCAGCGGATACGTGGACAACTTCCTGCCACTGTGTGGAAAAGAATAGGAAGGGCGATAACCCCTGTGTGCATGAGTATACGTGTGTATTTAAATGTGTGTATTTGTAGTACAAGTGCTCAGGGAGCTGTTAGGTGAGCCGTGACTTCATGCTGGGTTTAAAAGAAAACAAACTCGAGGAGTGTGAGGAGGCCGCGTGGTTCGAATCTAAAGTTTGAAACATCATGTTTTCTTGAAAGTCAGAAGGCCGAGTGCTGCAGTTCATACCGTACCTGAGCCACAGCACAGACGTGACACCGGAGTTTGTTGTAGGCTTCAAACTCCCCAAATAAAAACAAAACAAATCTTGATAAATGTTTAAAATAAAATAAAAAATTATTTAAAGAAGTAACTCTGATAGTTTTCATTTGATACTATTTCTATCTTAACATGTGATTCTTGACCTGCCATTGTGTATCTGTTCCTACCAAACCCAGCCGGTCGAAGCTGTGCTTGTCCTGAACCTGGTTCTGCTAAAGGTGATTTGACTAGACCCGCCCCACAAATATAACCCCGCCCCCTCATTTGAATATAAGAACGTGAAATAAAAAGAACAAAGTCCATGCTCAATAATCCAGGTATACAATCCAACAGTCAGGTCATCTGGACAGTCTCTCTGGACAGTTTTCTTTTTCAACCAGTTTGACAAGACTGTCAACAAGGAATGGAGGAGGGGCGTACCAAAGAGACCATCTTATCACAAGCAGAACTGGTTTGTTCCACTTTGGAGTAAGCTGTTGGGGGAAGAATCAGTTTTGTTGTTATATACCTGGATGACTGAGAAAACAAACTTTGAGTTTTGTTGTGTGTTTCCTTGACTGATGAAGCCTTCAGGGTCGAAGGCGAAACGTTTCAGCACAAAAAAAAGAAACTGTCCAGATGACCTGACTGAAAAATGTTGGATGGAATAAAAAGCGCTTAAAACGAAAAACGGGGTTAAAAAAATAAAAGCCCCTGAAATGTGTAAAGTAGCTTTACAAAACAAAAGTGTCACAAAATGATACTCCATAATTAAATAAATAAATAAAAACCTCTTGGAAATAAATAAAAATAAATCTTGGAAAACCAAACATGTCTATTTAATTGTTTTATTTCATGGGAACGTTTAATTTATTTAATGGAATATTTATTAATATTTTTTAAATACCACTATTTATTTATTTAATTTTGAGTGAAGTGGCTCTCCATAAACTAGAACCCAAACTGGACGGGTAGCGGTGCAGTTGCAGCTTTTGGCCACGTGGTGTCGCTGCTGCGCGCTGCCCTTCAAACAGCTGCTCGGCTTCACATTAAACGCGACAACAACAGGATCTCATAATAATAATAATATTAATAATAATAATAACCTCCAAGATTTTACTCTAAATAAGCCGGTAAGTAGAAAAAAACACGTTTTATTGTTGTTTACTGACGCTCAGGGGACTTTCCGCGGTTCTGTTGGACCTTAAAGAGTTGGTTTCACTTTCTGTTTGACTTCTGCGGGTCGTGGCGGTGACGTCTCATCGAGCTGCGGGTAAAAAGGTGTTTTTTGGTAATTTTCTGGATAATAGTGGATTCTTTCTCAGCTTTGAGACGTTCATCAAGGGTTAACTTGCCTCGCGAGAAGACATTTGGACGGTATGTTTGATTTCGACGTTTATTTTCAGCCTGACTGTTAGCGTCTGTCGTCCCCTGCCCAACATGCTGTATTATATTATGAGACATGAGACTTTATTTATGAGACTTTATTTATGAGACTTAATGAGACACACACGTGAGGGTTGATTGTTTTTCTGTCTGCAGTTCTGACTCTTTTTGAGTTTCACAGAAACGAGCAGTGCAGGAAAAACTGAAAGCACATCTGCAGAAAGTGAAAGTAATTTTATTTTATCTTTCTTTTTTTTTTAATAAAATAAAATAGACCATGGAGTTATATAAAACATGCAAACTCTCCAGGCTTGCTTCCTTACAATACGGGTATAAATATGAAATAAAACGAACATATTTATTATAAATATATAATAATAATATACAGTTTATTGCTTGGCTTTTATCTTTTTCAAACTGGACAAGTGAAGGTGAAGAGGCTCTCCTGAGGTTGGAGCTGTATAATTAAACTAAATAAAGCTGAATTAAAGGGATATTTATAATATTTTGAGGTGGGGTTCACGGACAGTTAAAGGTACTCTGTGCAAAATATGAAATCAAACATATGTAGGTTATCCTTAACTGCTTACTCCAGTAGTTTTATAGATATATTGATATACTATGATGAAATGAAGGTTTGCGTGCAATGTGAACCAAACACTTGGCTGAATGTGGTGGAAGCGTGAGTCATGATGGCCGTAGACGTTAGGTTTACTAATATGGCAGAACCTGTGAGAAGATGTCTGCTGCTAAACAAAAGAGAACAAGTGAGACAATTCTCAAGAATAAAGATACTGGTCAATGAGGCTCAAGCAGGACATTGGTTCGCCATTCAAACATATGAAACTACTTCTGAACACTTAAGTTGATCGTTTCTACCTAGTTTTTTTTATCTGCGTACTTTTAACAGAGTGGAAATAAGTACTCCATCCATCCATCCATCATCTTTACCCGCTTCTTCCTTTTGGGGTCGCAGAGGTCATTAGTGCTCATATCCAGCAGTTACTGTGCGAGAGGCTGGAGACACCCTGGACACGTCTCCAGTCCATCACAGGGACAAACAACCATTCACTCTCTCACTCACACCTAGGGACAATTTAGAGTTACCAGTCAGCCTAACATGCATGTTTTTGGTCTGTGGGAGGAAACCGGAGCACCCGGAGAAAACCCACACATGCACGGAGAGAACATGCAAACTCCACCCAGAACGGCCCCCAGCCAGGATTTGACCCAGCAACCTTCTCGATGAGAGGCAACAGCTCTTCCAACTGCACCACCGTGACACCCAGCAATAAATACTAACATTAAAATTGTTGCACGTTTTGTTCCCATTGACCCGGCTCCCCCTGCCCCAACTCCTTCATAGCTACTTCCTGTAGCTTTGGTAGAATACAAACCGTTGATAAATGTGAACGCAAAGATGAAACATCAAACTTAATTATTGTTGCCAATAATTTTTCACCAGATAAAAAGGCAGTGGCGGTAAAAGTTGGCGCCACAGAACGGGAGGTAGGCGTGAACGTAAAGACCACGAGGCGTAACAAAAAACTAACTTCAGGCAAGTGTTTCTGTAAAAAAGACCAAGATGGCTCTTTGGACCATTATCGGCTGCTTCCGTGCGTAAACAAACGCGGTGTAGTTGGCAGTCGTTCACATATTTTCCTTCTAAATATTTATTTCAAGGTCACATTATCTATTGATACGAGAGGCATTTTATGCAGATTTTGTGTCTTAGTTAAGGATTTATGTTTTTACTTGTCTTCACGACTTTGCACGGAGAAGTTTTAATGTAACTTATTGCAGGTAGTTCCTTTTCATTTGGTTCTGACTCGACCAACGAGCTAACAGCTGCTCCCACGTGGTGTAAGTCCAACGTGACCTACGGCCGACGTCTCGTACAGACCTAAAGAAACGTTAGTCGTTCATTTCACGCTGCACGGTTATTCCAGCAGGAAGTGCTTCCAGACTGAACCATAGGTGCTAGCTGGTCAGAGTTAAGCTCAGGGCGTTTAAAAGCCATGTACACCAGGTAAGACATTTATTTTTAGACTTTCCTCACTTGAAGATTTGAACTATCACTTTACATAACAACAAACAGCAGATTTTCAGTTTGTTGGAGGGATGGATTAAGAAAGTAAAGCACCGTCTTTAGTTGATCGTTAACTGCAGACCAGAAGTTTTTTAGGGGTCAGGTCGGCGTCACGCCGGCGTTCTTCTGAACCTGGTCCACTACAAGGACCCAAAGGTAGAAGATCTGGAGAACTGCTCATCGAGATGATTTAAAATAAAAAAAGAGAACGTATCATCCACGTGTGTGTTTGCTTCACGACTCAGGACGTCTCTGTTGTTTCTGCAGAATCTCCTCGACATGCAGAAGATGAGCTACTTCTTCCCCCTGCTTTGTGTCTGCCTGGACGTGTGCATGATGCACGCCCTCCGCCTGGCCCAGCCGTCCCCCCTCCTCCTCCCTCATCCTTTCATCACCTTGTGGGGGGGAGCGCTGACCAGGGCCTCCGTCCTCATGTGTCTCGTCTTCACCTGCCCCGGAGGCCTCCCGTGGATGAGAAGCTTCGAGGGGCTCCAGAGCTTGGGGGTCCTTTGTTTCCACTTCCCGGTGTACCTCAGCGTTCTGTGGGTGTTGGGGCGGTCCACAGTGGAGGAACTGTGGGGATGCTACTGCTGGGAACGGGTGAGTGGATGTGTTGCGCAGTTATTCCTACAAAAGACCACATCGTTCCGTGTATCAGTGTCTCGACAGATGCAGAACGTGACACACGGTTAGTCTGAGACCGTGCTGCGTTTATGTTCGCCAACATCATTTACTTCTAAACTAAAGACGAGGGGGGGGGGGGGGGGGGGTCACATTCTGCTGATTAGCCTCGACCAAGAGCAGGAAATTAAATCTTTAACTTGTTTATGTATCCGCCACAGAACAGTAGTCCCTCGTTTATCACGGGGCATCCGTACCCTGAAGACCCGCGATAAGTGAAAAACCACGAAATAGGAATAGTAGTACAAGTAGTAGTCTATATATATATATATATATATATATATAACAATATATGTAAAATGTGTTTTAAAGCCTTCCCACACTCTTGCAATATTCTAAACAATGTTTCTAACTCTAAACGCTCTAAAAGACACAGAATGTCATGATTTCAGCTCCCTGCCTCAGCTGCTCTCAGCCACCTGCAAGCGTTCTTGGCCACGCCCACTTTGCACGTTCTGCACAGAGATCAGCTGATCAGCTGCAGCAGGAAGTTTATCCTTCAGCGTGGTCTGCTGAGACTCTTGACTGAAATATACCAATGTAGCTATTTAAACATTTAACCTCAAGCCTTTTTAAACACTATATGCATTTTACCATTTAGTAAACAAAAGCTTTTGTTTTCTCAGATTCAGGTCAGTTGATTTTGTTCGTTGTGATGCGATAAATTTGAGGCTCAGTGGATTAAAGCTGTAGTTTGTTTTTGTTTTTTTCCAGATGTTGCAGGGTTACGCTGTGACAGCTGTGGCCTGGCTCTACTGGAGTCGGACCATCTCCAATTTTTCAACAAGGAAAGCTCCATCTGAGGAGAAGCCTGGACCGGACAGCAGCGCCACTATGAAGAGGCTGATGGGATTCATGAAGCCGTACCTGGGGCGCTTCATCGTAGTCCTGGTTCTCGTGGTTCTCTCGTCTTGCGGTGCGTTGGAGAACAGCGTTCTTTACATTTGTCCTATTTAAGTTTCGTCTGTCACAACTGACTCTGTGGACTCTTTATCTCATCGGTTTGTAAGCTTTGCTTCCTCAAAGATCAGTAATGTGACGGTTTGAACCCCTGACTACAGGTGAGATGGCGGTTCCTCATTACACCGGTCGTATGGCCGACTGGATCATGAACGAAGAAGCGCCGGACGCGTTCACGCGAGCCATCACAATCATGACGTTACTCACCATAGCCAGGTGATGAAAATTTTTTATCTTTGTAAAACTGCATCATCTTGCTGCTCATACGGGCTTTTATTTGTTACTACAAACCATCATATACGTTCCTGGGCAAAAATATTTCAATTTATCAGTTAAATGATGGAAACTTTTCATTTTAGTCTAATAAATGTACCAGGCAAGCAGACAAAATTTGTTGTTTATGGTTTAAATATTATTTTAATTAAATCTAGCTTTCCTTGAAGGACTGCATTCCTTTCATTCTGTCAGGGGTGACGGTTTTGGAGAAGAACCCGTTGGTGCAGGCAGGACTCAGAAACACAGAGAGTAAAATGATAAATACTTTTAATGATACAAAATAAACAGGCTGTCGAGGCAGGAAGACTTAAATTCATTAGGAGACACGTAGAACTCTCAAAGAGGTACTAGGAACTCAGGAAAACACCAGGGTCTCAGGAGGGAAACCAGACGATGCTCAGACAATAACACAAAGACACGGACTTCTATACAATGACTAACAAGACACAACACCTGTGAGGACACGCAGCTGAAACAGATCAGACTGAACTGGGAAACCAGGGGTGTAATAACAGGAACCAGCCACCAGAGGGCACCATCCTTACATTCAAAGGTTTTAAACAACGATCTCAAGCAGTCTGTTAGAGTTCAAACTATGCGTTGAAGGATGACTCCCAGCTACTACCACAACAAAATTTACCTCAATATCTGTAAAACTGACTGAGCTATAGCCATTTTTGTGTTTGACAAGCTTGATTAGCTAGAGCAGCCATCTTAAACGAGGTTCACGCTAATCTTTAGATGGTTTTGAGAGTTTCGTAAGAATGTGTCGTTTGGTTCACGAGATATTTTGCTTACAGACACACGTTACTTGGTCACCCGCCTTTCATGGCAACAAGCAAGAATAAATCTTTGCGCTGCGTTAAATCGTTTTTGATGGCTTTACGTTTTGTTTTGTGTGTTCCAGCGCTGTGTTTGAGTTTGTGTGCGACCTCATTTACAACATCACCATGAGCCTCATACACACCTCGGTGCAGGGCGCCGTCTTCCAGGCGGTGCTCAGGCAGGACATCGCCTTCTTTGATGCCACTCCGACAGGTAGACCTCATCCCAACAATCATTCTGACTCGCCAGATGTTCATTTTTAGGCTAACGTGTAGTAAAAACAACAAATCGTTAAATCCTGGACCTGTTTTTTTCTTCACATGTGGCACGTTGGTTTTAAATATCTGCATTGCACTTTACTTAATTATGGTGTAATAGTTCAATAAAATTCCTGTCAGGTGAGCTGGTGTCCCGCATCACCACGGACACCAACGACATGAGCGAGGCGCTGAGTGAGAAGCTGAGCCTCGTCATGTGGTACACGGCCCGGTTTGGCTTCCTCCTGACCTTCATGGTGAGCCAGTCATGGAAGATGACCCTGCTCACTTGTATGGGACTTCCCATCATCTGGGTCATCCCCAAGCTCACCGGTCACTTCCACCAGGTGATGTTCCTCAGACAAAGAACCCGTGTCCATCACATAACTTCCTAAACTAATCAAAGGAGGCAGATTTGTCTCAGTATGTTTCATATTTATTGACGTGAGTGTGTTTCGTTCTGTCTGTGCATGCGTTAGACCATTGCTGTGAAGGTGCAGGAGTCCCTGGCGAAAGCCAACCAGGTGGCCACGGAGACCTTCTCCTGCATGAAGACAGTGAGGAGCTTCGCCAATGAGGACGGAGAGACAGAGAAGTACAGGAAGCGGCTGGAGGACACCTACTCTCTGAATAAAAAGGAGGCAGTGGCCTACGCAGCGTCCACCTGGGCCAACAGCGTGAGTTTAGTACAACCTGCTTTTCTAAATCTTTGCAGTATCTGTTGCTCACTTCGTGGTTGGGAAACAGCATTCACGAGAACATTTCTTGAAGACTGCAACTCTGCATGTCCAGGTCTGAAAACTGTGCCGATGAATAATAGTTCACATTTGTTCAAATCTGCCTATCTTCATCTCAAGGTGGGTACAAAGTGATACGAGTGGAGGTGGGCGACGAAATAACACGCACGGCCCAGAATACAGTTTTGAAACTACGCGCACAGAAATAAATCGTTTTCTAAAACTGGCTACTCAGCATGCAGCTGCATGGTTTGCTGCTCACAAGGAACATATTTTTCAGCCTATAAGGCACATTTAAAATCCTTTAATCTCCTCAAAAATCAACAGTGAGCCGTATGTATTAATTCTGCTTGTGCTTACCGACCTCGAACCGATTTTAAGTGGCACAACTGAACAATGTTCAGAGTTACTGAGAATGAGTTGAATAAAGTTTGACTTATCTGACTGTTTTGTTTCGCTTAATGCGCCTTATAATCCGAAAAATATGATGCTCAGAATTCAGTGAGACTGCAACAACATTTTTTTACTCTTTTCTCACAATTTAGAGCAGAGCTATTCAACTAAACTGCTCAGGGGGCCACAGTTACTGAGAGCCGGCAGCTCAGGGGCCGGACATTAGTATATTCTTAGTTTAGCGGATTTATTAGTTCGTATCTTAGATCTTATTACTGCTTTTCTTTACAATTTGTATTTTTGTTGGATGTATTTGGGACCCTGTGTACATAGTTTTGTCCCACCATATGTACCACATGTGGCGTGAATGACAATAAAAACACCTTGACCTTGACCTTGACCTTGACATCCAGCAATTAAAGTCATTATGTAAATAAACCAAATATTACAATGATCTGTTACCTTTTAAATATGTTCATTTTGTTGCATTGAATCATAAATGCAATAAACAGAACCAAACCTAAACTCAAAACAACCCCCCACCATCACCAGTACAAAAAAAAATATATATATAAACAATGGTGGGTCCATTACACCACCAGTTTACTAGCCCTGATTTAGAGTCTCGCCTAAACTACAACAGTCCCAGTACAGTACTGAGATTTTATCTTAAATGGAATAGTAAAAATCTTATCATTGTTTATGGATCTATAGTCTGTGCATTTTTAAAATGATTTATTAAAACAAATTAACATAAAGACAAACGGTTTTCACCCACATTTCTGATCCTGAATTTGTGTTACGTAGTGATCCGTTTGGGCTTTCTCTGCTCAACTCTTCAGTATTTTGTAAAAGCAAAACTCAACCTGACCTCTTTTGAATCTGTTTAACAGTTAATTGAACAAGTCATGTCAGTTTTTGATTAATTTTATTCATTTATTTCACATCTTTACAGTAATTAACTTGAGTTTTATTTCCACTTTGTGTGACCTGAATACCAAAACACTTCTGACGATGTAACATCCATAAAAGTCTCTTATTCTTGGCACGAAACAAACTCCAGATCAAACCCATTTGACTTTATCATGAGTATTTTAGGACAGCTCAAATGTTATGGACACCTTCGTGAATCGAAGTCCAAACCATTTTTTCCTATCAGGCGGTGAACGTTTGTTTTTACCTGATTTTAATGCCGAGCCAGTTCAGAAACACGCCCGGCTCTTCAGAAATCAGTCTCTTGCTAACAAAGATAACTGAACTGAGCAGCCGGTTGGTGAAAACGAGGTTGGAGTCGATAAATTGTGACACTTTCAATTTGAATAGTTCATAAATTATTAGTGGTTACATGTGAATTGTTTATCGGGTCCTCGTTTCTTGTGGTTGGGATGACCTCTTGGTGAATCCTTCACTGCTCGTTAGTGCCAGAACACCCAGACGAGCTCAGCACGATAAGCCGAACAAGTCGGTCTGATAAACATCTGTGTTCGTGCTTTCTCAGATGACCACTCTGGCCTTGAAGGTGTTCATTTTGTACTACGGGGGCACTCTGGTGTCTCGGGGGGCCGTCAGCAGTGGAGACCTGGTTTCATTCGTCCTCTACGAGCTGCAGTTTGCTTCTGCTGTTGAGGTGAGCCACAAGCCGAGACCGTGAACAAGGTGTAGTTTAAATCACTGCTCAGCTCTTCTCCTCTCCCAGGCTGTGATGCGTTACTACCCAGAGGTGAAGAAGGCCATCGGAGCCTCTGAGAAGATTTTTGAGTATCTCGACAGGGAACCCCAGACCCCCCCTTCAGGCACTTTGGCTCCTGAGAATCTCAAAGGATGCGTTCAGTTTAAAAATATTAAGTTCTCCTATTCTGGAACGACTGATGAAAACAATCTGGTGCTTAAGGTGTGTGTCCTTCTCTGAGTAATTTATTACATCGATGATTCGTTTTAACATGTGCATTGATATCACCAGGATTTATCTCTGGAGGTGAAGCCAGGCCAAATCACTGCTCTTGTTGGGCTGAACAGATCAGGGAAGACCACCTGCGTCAAACTGCTGGAGAGGTTCTACCAGCCGCAAGCAGGGGAGATCCTCCTGGATGGAGAACCACTGCTGAACTACAAAGATGAGTACCTCCGCAAAACGGTCAGTGGCTAAAGAGGATTTCATTTTTATTCAGATTAAGAAAGAAAAGGTGCTCCGTGGATGTTTTTATTCCTCAGTGTGGTCATTTGGACATAGCAAGCAGCATAAACCCTTGTGAATATTAACATTATTATATGATCATTAAAAAACTGACTCTGCACCGAATCACTCTATCATAGGTTTTTAATTAGAATTGAGCTCCTCATAATAATCCTGGATGCAGCTGTACAACAACATAACAGGCTCTGCATGAGAAAACACAACAAAACTGGACTAAATCCATGATCTATAAGCTGTGCAGATGAGAACATCTGCCCAAGCTGATGTGAAGGATGTTAGAGAAAGTTAAACATAATTTACTAAATGTTTTCCCTGCTTGGCTGCCAGTCTGAACATCTGTTTTAACTCCCTGGCGTTACTTTTCCTGTTGTTATCCAGGTGGTCAGGATCAGCTGGGATCCTTAAACAACCACTGTTTTTTTTAACGTTTGTTGGCAGATTGCTGTGGTGAGCCAGGACTGTGTGCTGTTTGCTCGCTCTGTCCGTGAAAACATCAAGTACGGCTGCGAGGATGCTACGGACGAAGACATGTACAAAGCTGCTGAGCAGGCCAGTGCGCACAAGTTCGTCACCGATCTGTCGAACGGATACGACACAGGTTCGACCCAGAGACTCTAGGTCCATCAGAATAAATCACATGACTAATGCTGCCTGTGTTGTTAGCTGACTGTTCAAACTACAGGCCCAACATTTCATAAATGAATGCACGTTGCCCGCTGCCGTTCATGTCAGAGTTTCAGACTAAGATCAGCTGATAGAAATAGGAGTTGAGCTGTTTGGTCAAATCTCGTAAAAAGACGTTAGCTTCGATGCATAATTGTGAGCGCTCGCGTAGGCCTGTCGCGATAAACAATAAATCAATTAATCGCACGATCAATGAAAATTATCGACCTCTTCATTTATCGGCTTTATCGTTTCTCCGTGTCTCTTTCTACTGAAGACACTGGATGACAAAAGGCTCAACTCCGGTGCCCCCTCCTTTTCTCTTTAAAAATCCATTTTCTTCGTCCAAAATCACGTTTTTGGATCGTTAAAAGTAGCTTAGCTGAGAAGCTAAGCTACGAGCTAAGCTAACAGGTCATCCTCTGGGAAAAATCTGTCTTGTCCAAGCTCCAAAATTCACAGTTGAAACCCGTGCCTTAGTGTAAAAAGTTGTTTTCCTCTGCAAAAAGAAGCTGAGAACTTGTTTACGTTTTTTTTTATTTTTTTTATTAAAAGCTTTGTGCGACAAATGCTATGCTAAAGAGCTCAAAGCACACCGAGCGTCCACTGTTTAGAGAACCAAAACAAAGGAAGGAGCCCATGTGACGTCAAGGGGCCTCCCTCCCATTTTTCGTACAGAGACCGTCTTATACTGCCATCCAGTGGTTAAAAAAGGTACTACACACAAAACAAATTAATTAACATTTCTTCTTAAATTTGACAATAATTACTAATTATTGTCAAATTTCAAACAATATTATTATTTATCGCAATAATTTCTGATACCATTAATTGCCCAGTAAAGTTTGTTATCGTGACAGGCCTACTCCCATGTGATCTGTTAGCTTTTGAAGTACGTGATGAGGATGAGTCTCAGCTACTACCACACCAAATTTAAACTTCATATTTTTAAGGCCGGTTGTGTTATAGCCGTGTTTGTGTTAGCCAAGGTCGATTAGCTGCGGCGGCCTAGTTTGGATTGGGTTGACTCCAAGGATAAACGGTAAACCCTCTTGTGTGCAGACGCTGGGGAAAAGGGAGGCCAAGTGTCTGGAGGTCAGAAGCAGCGCATCGCCATTGCCAGAGCTTTAATCAGAAAACCTAAAATCCTGATCCTGGACAACGCCACCAGTGACTTGGACACAGAGAATGAATACCAGGTAGGAATTCACCCAGTGTCCTCGGTGCTCTGTCTAAATTTTATAGCTGTTTTTCTTCATTGAACACTAAATGCTGCTTTCACTTTTCAGATCCGCGAAGCTCTGACGAAGCTAGCAGAGAGCTGCTCCGTGCTGATGATATCCAACAAGATGAGCGTCGTGGAGAAGGCCGATCACATTATCGTCCTAGACAACGGGGCGGTGAAGGAGGAGGGCAGTCATGACAAACTGATGAAGACAGGGGCTCTTTATGCTGATATGGTAAAGAAGCAGGAAACGAGCTTTGATCGTTCAAAAGAGGAGCGCAACGACGAGCAGGGACGTGTCTGAACGGCAGGAAAACGACAGGTTTTTAAAACTTTGGCTCCAAAATCCAAGCAAGACTTGTTTTGTACAGAAACTTCTGATGAGACGTTGTTTTTACTGCAAGGGCTTGACCTGTTATAGAGTTGCAGCTTAAACGTCTGACAAACTGCACCTTCACTGAATATTCTGAAAGATTTTGATTTGATGACCAGTTCACAAATAACCACCGTCTTTACATTTATGGTTAATATCCGTCAAAATATCATTACGAGTAAAATAATTCATCCTAAACGTTTGTTACGTTCACAAACCACCGTCAGTAATCGTTCATCAAAAGCTAGTGCGGCGTGTTCAGTAAAGTAGGCATGAATTTAGTTTTTTGTATTTTTATACATTTATAAATATGTTTTACGTCACTGCAATGAATGTAGAAATTTTCAAATTATTTATAAAGACTAACTTTGAAATTTACTGCAGTGTACTTTCTTCATTTATAGATTTTAACTAATGTTATTTTAGCTTTTGGCTATTCTGCTGGTTTTAGCTTGTATTTAGAGTTTTGACAGTCGTAGCTTTCAGCTAGTGTTTTGGCATTCTCGGCTTTTAAATACTTTTAGCTTTTATCTACTGTTTTGCTCATTGTAGCTTTTAGCTTTCTGCTTGTTTTAGCTAGTATCTAGTGTTTTGGCAGTCTTAGCTTTTAGCTAGAGGTTTCTTAAATTTATATTTTAGCTACTGCTATTCCTAACTTACGTTAAGTTCATCTTTTGCTAACTTTGACTTTTAGCTAGCTATTGTTTGGCTGATTTAGGCTTTTAGCTACTGTTTTGTTTAGCTGATTATAGTTTTCTTCTGGTCAGTTTAAATTTAACGGTTCAATTTGAGCTTCTTTATCAAACTTCAGCAGTTTTCATCACATTCAGCCTTCACAGCGCATGTTAGCAGAACGTGTCATTCCTGCAGGAGTCAAGTGCAGAATCCTGAGACTCTGCACAGAAAATCAGCATTTTGAGACGATGGAAGAGAAATTTATACTGATTTGATGCTAACCCGCTTTCCTACGGCTGAAAGAAACTTTGTGACGATGGATGTTTCATTAGAGCAGTTTGTTCAGATGTTCCTTGTATCGAAGTCTTGTAGATGTAAATTGAAATGACAAAAAGGTCTGTTATGTTAGTTAGAACAAGATGGACGTGCACTTTTATTTATACATTTCTCTTTAAATAGCACAAGGTAGCGTATGAGCCTTAAAACTACGTTTGTTTAAATCAATTTAAATTAACACTAGCATGCAAAGTGCTCATCCCTGAGTCGGAAACTGCTCCTGAGTGAAGTCGATGTTTTTATCCCCGTAACATCAGAACAATGTTGGGCTAACACGCTAACACCTAGCTTCACCTCAAAAAGGGCAGAATAGAAAACACTAAGATTCATTCAACCTTTATTTATACAGGTTAATTCCACTGAGCCTCGGGGACTCAAGAGAGATTTGATCAAATAGATACACGTGGTGTTAAATCCAGAGGAGTGACCAAAACCAGCGCTAACATAAGAAGTGGTTGAAAAGGAGGAGGCTGGACTTCCTGTCTTGTAATGCTTTATCAAAATTTTAGCTGCTTTTTAAAAAAAAAAAAACGTGTTGTTTTAATAAAAGGAACTCTTTAGCAACATAAGATATGAAAAAGAAATGTAACCCCTCCCAGAAAAGCCAGTTTATGTTATGTGTATTTCCATTTGTGATGAAGCATCACTGGTTTTGTTGCGGGCAGCACGGTGGCACAACTGGTAGAGCTGCTGCCTCTCAGCGAGCAGGTCCCTGGTTCAAACCCCGGTCCGGGGGCCTTTCTGGGTGGAGTTTGCATGTTCTCTCCGTGCATGCGTGGGTTTTCTCCAGGTACTCCGGTTTCCTCCCACAGACCAAAAACATGCATGTTAGGCTGATTGGTAACTCTAAATTGTCCCTAGGTGTGAGTGAGAGAGTGAATGGTTGTTTGTCTCGTTTGTCTCTATGTGTCCCTGTGATGGACTTGCGACCCGTCCAGGGTGTACCCCGCCCCTCGCACAGTGATTGCTGGACATGGGCACCAGCGACCCCCGTGACCCAAAATGGAATAAACGGGTAAAGAAAATGAATGGATGGATGGTTTTGTTGCTCAAACAGGAAACAGAAAGAACTGGGTTTGAGTTCCAGCCTGGCTTTAGGTGGGAAAGAGGGAAAGGCTGGTCTGTAGACAGATGGTGAATTAAAATCCTCTAAGAGTTTATTCCTTCATACTCTTCTGTAGATGCGATGATAATCAGTGAGCATGATTTTGTGTCATTTGCATGGCCAGATTTGATAAAGTAATTAAATTGTTTGTGTTTGTTTTTATATTTTCTAATTACATGCAGTTTTTTTTTTCTTCCATACTTTTCAGTGGAGAGAGTTCTTACAAAAGTTTATTGTTGCAGAATTCTGTTCAGCTTAACAAACGTCCAACAATAAACATTTTCTGTGAATTTTTCTTCCGTTTTTCTCATTACCATGATTGTTCTATGGAATTAAATATATTTTATAAAATGTATTTACAAAAACTGCTACAGAAGAATCTTTTAAGCTGTTTTCCTTTGGAACATTAGGGCAAGTTCTTAACAAATTCAAATACAGTAAGTACACGCTAAAACTACAGCTCAGTTTTTTTTTTTGGTTAAGTTTAGAAATGCTGTAAATGTAAATAGCTGAACATTTTAATAACATTTAGGCCTTTTTTTGTATTTTGACTGACCCTAAAGTATCTAAAGGAAATAAACCTATAGAAGTTGTATTTTTTTATTCAAATTTTGAAAAATTAAGCAAAACAAATATTAAATTAAGTAAAAAATGTTAAAATGAGCAGAAAAATATTAATTAGGAGGAAAAAAAAGCTAAACGTAGTGTAAATAAAGGCACAAGCAGAAAAAAGCAGATCACTAATAGGCAGAAATAGCAGAATGCTAGCAAAAAGCAGAAGAATGCCTGCTAAGACCTAAAAGTGATGGAACGTTAAGGAGACGAGAACCAAAAAAATGTACGGAAATCAAAAACAAAATAAAGAGACTAAAAGAAAACACGTTAAACTTTGACATTAAACGGACAACGGTTGTCTTTATTTGACGGACATCAATTATAGCCAATCAAAACGCAGTATCTGCGTTGACGTCACCGGACATGCTCATCACTGTCACGTGACTGGTATTTATTCTGTGAAGCGGAAGCGGGTGGTCGCCATTTCATTTCGGATTTTTATTTCGGTCGTATGAAGTGACAGCGCGGAAGAAAAGGAAACATTTGGCTGCCAACTCTCAGCCCAATGGAAGCTGCAATCAATCCACACCACGACAGGTAATGTCGGAGGTAAATGTAAGCAAGGTAAAGGTATTTAATAGGTTTTTAATTTACCCAAGGCACAGCATCGAATCTGACGTTATATCGGCAGTTATCGTTAGCCTCCCATACAGAGCCAGAGGTTCTCTTGCAGGGTTAGCTAGCTGACTAAATAACAGGGTATTAACTCTTTATCATTGCACAGCTCTGATTAAGCACATCGAATGTACTGTTTAGCTTTTTTTTTTTTAGCCTGTAGCTGAATAGCCGGTTGAGTTGAGGCAGATGGAGGCTTCAGCCCATGATCCGGCTGTCTCAGCGGGCTGCTCCCCGTTAGCTCTTTCTGTCAGTCGGGTCATTCATTGCTCTAAACAGCCTGGTACTGGTAACATTCCGAGCTTCCATGCCACCGTGGCTAAGATAACTACAAATGATCATGCCTTCATGTGCGACCGTGCTCACCTTTTAGGTGTTGTGGAAGTCGCTAACTCTGAACGAACCGTTTTATTTTCTAGAATTTCTGGCCAAAATGGGAGGACGTGTAGCTTAGCTTAGCTTAGCTTAGCTTAGCCGCAGCTGAACCAACACAGCAGCCCCGCTTCACTGCGACAACAATGCCGGATTGTTTTTAGGGCTCCGACGTTTTACAACGAACAGGTCTGATTTTTATGGGGATACTGTTCAGTTTTTGTGTTTTGTTTTTTTGACGTTGTGAGTCATGTGTGTTTACAAACAGCGGAGGCGGGGCGTTCAAACCACGCGATCTCCAGCTGCTGTTTTAAACCCAGCAGGTCCAGGTGATCCCTTTCGGTTGAACCAGGACTTGGCCCAGTGCAGGTTTAGATCAGTAGGAGTCAATTTAGGGTCAAGATGGCCACGGTACTTTTTAAAGCTAATACAATTAAACATGATTTCAGACGCCAGGATTAAGTAAATGACAGGTGTCACCATGGCAACAGTGCAGAGGAAAACAATCAAAACGCACAAGTCACTTTAAATCTATTAACAAAACAATCCTACTACTAGACTTATTGCTGGTAAACTCATAACTATTTAGCATTTTTTTCCCAGGCGTTTTATTTATTATTATTATGTTTTTTTAGTGGACTGGCTTTTAGTTTATTTATTAATCTTTATTTAACCAGGAACATTTCATTAAGATCGTAGATCTTTTTTGCCTTGGTCCTGAAGGAGGTCTAACATGTATGCTTTGGATTGTGGGAAGAAACCAGAATACCCGGAGCAAACACGAGAGGAACATGCAAACTCCACCCAGAAAGACCCCAGGTCCAAACTGAGGATTGGACCCAGGACCTTCTTGCTGTGAGGCAACAGTGGTTAACTAGAAGCTGCCGTGCTGCACCGTGCAGCCCCACATTTTCAGTTTGTGACCCCAAATATTTTTGGTTGACTGCCCAAAGATGCTAATAAAGTGAATTAATAGGGACAACTCAAAACATTAAATTCATAATATACATGTTTTTTTTTTTTAGATTTTTGACTTGTGTTTAGATTTTTTTAATACAATGATAGTCTAATATACAAATAAAAATAATTAAAAATGTTATCTGATTCATGGAGATCCTCCCAGTACCCTCAGCTTGGTGTTTGTGACCCACACTAGAACTTCATCTTTGGGATCTACTGTTATTGTTTACAAATTTAAATAGATTTTTTTTTGTTGTTATAAAATTCTAAGTTTAACATGCACTTAATTTTTAAACATTAAATAATACATTTTTCACTGTATTTACGCTCCTCACTGGGTTGCTTTTATTAATCGGACCACATTTAGTGCGCGCGCATGTGAGCTGTGGGGTGAGGTTTATTACTTATCTGGTTTGTGCCCACGAGGAAATGCGATGGCTAAACCCCTGAAGAACCTGTAGTTTGACATGCGGACATCACGGAGGCTCTCTGTTGACGTTTGATTAATTTTTTTACAGCAGATTTGCACAAGAATATTAATCTCACTGGAGAAAAGATGCGTTGTTTCTAATTAATCCATTTGCTTGTTTCCTTCGTTCGGCTCAAGGCAGGTTGAAAAATAAATGCAAAATACAAATTAAAATGTTCTGATGCATGCTCAATAATCGAGGTACATAAATCTAGCAAGGTTGAGTTTATTTATTTTGCACAAGGAAAGGACAAAGTTAGAACTGTCGGGCTAAAAGGCAAATGCAATTCATATCTAAACACCACAATGTTAGTGTTTTCAAGAAAAAATAAAGTGAAGTCAGTTTTTTTAATACTTCAGAATGCAGGCAGAGCATACAAGTACAAATTCATGAACATTGCGGTTGTGTTTGTCATTCAAGGACAGACTAGACGGATGTCTTGTCTGCGTGAGGGAAAGTTTGGGTTACAAACAAAACCACATCAATTCACAAGTTTACACACAAGTATATGCAGTAATACACAAACATGCTTTACAAACTCAAGTTTACGCAAATACATGGGCAATAAACTGGTTTTTGTATCATACGTTTAAGAAAACAGAAAAAAGTTCTTAATTTTTATACTTTCTATTTCTTGCTTTTAGGACTGGTGTAGTTTTCTTTAGGTCTAAAGTCATTTGTGTGTTTTTTAAGCACTTTATTTATTAATAAGGATAAACGGACACTCAATGGTACGAGTTGGGTGAACTCTGCCTCTTCTGACGTCTTGAAGTGGTCTTTACGTTTTTCTAAACCGTAGCAGGACTGAAGCCTTTTGGCTCTTTGCTCTCGTATTTAACGCTCCGAGTGTCTTCAGGGACGTTTGTCCTGGACTCTTGTCCCAGTTGTGCTAACTGTGTGGAGGGAAGCTCTTCAAACGGCTACAGGGCGTTGTTCAAGTCATTCGCTGTAGTCAAGGACAAACTTTTGTCCTGTTTTTTGAGAAGGAACGTGGACCTTTTTATTTTAGTGTGATCTTCTTTGATATTAATGAGTTTAACAATGTTTTTTGACTTTGCTTGTTGCCAACTGTTATTTTTGTGCACTTAAAATAAAGCTTAAATAAATATAACAAACATAAAGGAAATGAGTTCTCATTATAACCTTGTATTCACTCACAAACTGAACATCGCCTCAGAAATGTGTAAAAGGGTTTCCTAATTTAAACCATGTTTGTTTTGAACGTTGTTATATTACTGTTTTTGTTAGTTTTAGCTGATAATTATGTTTGAGTGCTTGAGCCTTTACGGTAAATTCACTTACGTGTCCTGTTATTACTTTCATAAGCCACTGCTTAAAATAGCTGCCTCCTGTATGTTTTGGAGACTTGTTGTCTTTGGGGCTCTATCCTTCAAGTCTGTAAAAAAATGGATGTCTGCTTGTCGAGGTCGTTTCCACACGGGGGTGTTTCCCATGATGCTGCTGAAAGGAGCAGCTGATCGATGAGGTCTAGTTTCCTGTCTTGATAGTTGACTGATGTCTATGTTCATGTGGGTTATGAGGCTGAATTATGTAGAGTACGTTTGGAAATCTGTTTGTGTTGCAAGTTGCCTCTCTGTCGTTTCTAGATGAAACAGAAATGTTTTTAACGTTTCTGTCTCTGTGTTCATCCTCCGGTCTTGCTGCCTCCCTGACTTTAGCGCCCTGGTTGGGTTGTCCAGTGGAATGATGAGCCAGCACTCCAGCTCAGGCAAACGCATTCGCAAACCCTCCCTGTTGTACGAGGACTTTGAGAGCCCGTCACTGCCGCATACCATGCCCCAAGCATCCCCTGCCCCTCCGCAGCCCCCAGTAAAGGATCCCGTCCATCCAGGCCGCATGACGAACCAGCTGCAGTACCTCCAGAAAACCCTGACAAAGTTTCTGTGGAAGCACCACTTCTCCTGGCCTTTCCGCGAGCCTGTGGACGCCTACAGGCTTAACCTGCCGGTGAGTTCCTTATTTCTGCTTAAACCAAGAAAAAATGTTGATGCTTGAACAAATGATTAAAGGTGGTTGTCCATCCTGAAATGAAATACTGTCATCGTTTTTTTTTTCAGGATTATTATAAAATTATCAAACAACCAATGGATATGGGGACGATAAAGAAACGTTTGGAAAATAACTTTTACCAAAGTGCAAGCGAATGCATACAGGACTTCAACACGATGTTTACTAACTGCTACATCTACAACAAGGTCGGTTAAAGTACAAAACAAAACTGTTCTTGTTCATCCTATTTCTCTTTTATTACAAAGGCACTGCTCTCATGGGGCCTGCACAGAGTACTTAAAGCCCAAAACAAATGTATACCGGCACTTCTTTTTTGTCTCATTGACGACGTGCATAATCTTCTTTCGGCTTTTCCCTCATTGCCACAGCGAGCCGTCCTCCATCTTAATCTCACAATAATGATATGCACAACAATGATCTTTATTTATTAACATAGGTGCTCACGTGTGATATTTGAAAACAAGAAAATGAACATAATTACTGCAGCATCATGCTTGAGATATGATGTAATGAGTCAGTGCGTTTAGTGTAGCTCCATTGTAAAGTAATCTTTACATTGTCTGGACGTGGCAACGTTAATGTTTGCAGGGTTCATTTACGCACGTCGCTCCTTGAGTTCAGTTTTAGAGCATGTTGTGTAACTTTGCTAAGGGTATCTGAAATAAATCTGTTATTAAATGTGTGAGTTGATCTGTGAGCTGAACTGTCAGAATGCTCTTCTTATACAGTAGATGCTAGTTTTAGATTAAAAGTGAGTCTTTTATCTGTGTCTGTGCGATCTTCTCTCTCCTGCAGCCGATGGATGACATCGTGCTGATGGCTCAGTCTTTAGAGAAGATCTTTCTCCAGAAAGTGGCTCAGATGCCTCAAGAGGAAGTCGAGCTTCCTCCACCAGCCCCTCGTAACAAAAACAGCAGGGGAAGATCTCACAAATCTCACAGTGAGTGCACTCACGTTATACGATGCTGAATTTGTTTACATTTGTATGTCTGTGCCATTTTCAGTCTCATTTCAGTATTTAGTGTCAAGTTTTCTTTATAACTTGATTTGGCATCAAATGCTCTACAGAATACCATCTGTTGTCATCTGTAGCTTTTTAAAGTTGTGTCCACTCTGTCTTTAGCCTCGCGGGCTCAGCAGGTGCCAGCAGTGTCCCAGTCAGCCTACTCTCCTTCCTCTTCTGACACGGGTGATTCCATGCTGGCCAACTCTCCTCAGACTGTTCTGACCAAAAGTCTGCCTCCAGCCAACATCATGGGCCTGCCTCCTACACAGCCCACAACCAAGGTACATCATGACACCCACCATAATTCACATGCAAATAATTTACATGGACAAGTGATATGATTAAAAAGTAGTTTGTGGTTTGACCTAGTTCAGGACACATTAAATCTGTTATAATGAAAATATTTAGATCCAAAGAGATTCAAAATGTGAAATTTAGCATCTTATTTGTGATGAAAGGTATTTCTAATCTTGATTTCTTTACGTAGAAGAAAGGTGTGAAACGTAAGGCAGACACCACCACCCCCTCCACCATGGGCTTTTCTGTGGGCATGTCAGGAGTGACACACATGCCCCCCCACATGGTGGGCTTGGGGAAAGGAGGTCACGGCGGCCAAGTCCACGACACCTCCATGCACACGGTGTCTTCAATGGGAGACATGAGCATGGAGACTCCACCTGGGATGGGCCTGGTCCGGAGCTCCGGAGGTCCCGTCCTCCTCCAGCCCATGATGTCTGGCACGGGACGCAGGGTGGGCAGCGGACGCCCCATCAAACCCCCCAACAAGGACTTGCCAGATTCTGTTCAGCATCAGCCTTCAAAGAAAGGCAAACTAAGTTCTCAGCTGAGGTACTGCAACGGGCTGCTGAAAGACATGCTGTCGAAGAAACACGCCGGCTACGCCTGGCCTTTCTATACGCCCGTGGATGCAGCCTCACTGGGACTGCACGACTATCACGACATCATCAAATGTCCCATGGACCTCGGCACCATCAAGGTACCCAGTACAAAACGCCACTAGTAAAAGCTTTAAATTAGGGATGCAACGAGAGCTTGCAAGACTAAAACGTCACAAGACTTGTGACTTTGTTAAATTATTACTAAACGTGTCAGACCAGGACCAGCGTGGTCGTATCACTTCACTCCTCGCTCTCCTGCTGCTGCTGAAACCCCGTGACAGGAAGTCCGTCACTCTTTTATGTAAAACAACCGACTTAAAGCTGAGCTCAGTCATTTGTCAACTTTTGATGGGAAAACAAGTTCAAAGTCTCATGAATCTGCTCTCAACACAAACCGCTGAGTCAGCTGGAGGTAACTTTGATCTCTGACAATAACAAAAAGTTAATTTTGTTACAGAAGATGTTTGTTGTGAAAAAAAAAATAATTGTCACACAAGATGAGTTCTCCTTACATCCCTACTGTAAACATATTTAAACTATTAAAGCTTGAAGTATCTAAAAAATACCAGTTTTAAACACTTTTTAAAACCTTCTTCAGAGAAAGATGGACTGTCGAGAGTACAGAGACGCTCAGCAGTTCGCCAGCGACGTCAGACTCATGTTCTCCAACTGCTACAAGTACAATCCTCCGGATCACGATGTGGTCGCGATGGCACGGAAGCTGCAGGTGAGCTTCACCTCCTAATTCTGTCGGACCAGACGTCCTCGCGTCCCGTCAGAATCTGTCGCTGCTTATTATTTGCTGTTTTTGCGCCCCAGGACGTTTTCGAGTTTCGTTTTGCCAAGATGCCAGACGAGCCACTAGTGGAGCACACAGCCATGTCCATAAGTGGACATCCAACATCCTCTTCCTCATCTTCCTCCTCCTCCTCCTCTTCGTCTTCCTCCACCTCCGAGAGCGAGCCCAGCAGCGAGAGCGAAGAGAGCGAGAGCAGTCCCAGCTCCGACAGCGAGGAGGAACGAGCCCACCGCCTGGCCGAGCTGCAGGACCAAGTGTGCACGCAAGTAAGACCTCCAGCAGGACATTTCAGACACGCCTCGTTTTTTAGTTCAAAAACAGCAAAAGATTTAATCCTTAAATGTCGTTTCTCCCAGCTGCGGGCTGTGCACGAGCAGCTGGCTGCGCTCTCCCAAGGCCCCATCACCAAGCCGAAGAAGAAGAAAGAAAAAAAGGAGAAGAAGGAGAAGAAGAAAAAGAAGAAGGTGGAGAAGCGAAGTCGAGGTGTGAGGAGCAGAGCTGGCTCTGAGGAGTGGAAGATGCCAGGCAAGATGCTGAAGAGCAAGTCTGCCAAAGCAGGCGGCTCGCAGGCCAAGAGAGGACAAGTAAAGAAGAGCAACAAGACCAGCAAGTTAGTAGGAATGACACAATTACCCACAATGCCACAGTACAATGTCAGACTTGCATTCGTCTGATGGTGTAGATGAAAAACCAGTAAAACGAAATATTTTACCTCAAATAAATCGGCTAACTGTTGACTTCCTGTCCCCCCCAGGACTGTAAAGAAGCCTTTCTATCCGTCCCTGGCTCCCACCATGCTTCCGCACTACGACTCTGAAGAGGAAGAGGAGATCATACCCATGTCGTATGACGAGAAGCGCCAGCTCAGCCTCGACATCAACAAGCTACCCGGCGAGAAACTGGGCCGCGTGGTCCACATCATCCAGTCGAGGGAGCCCTCGCTGAGGGACACCAACCCCGAGGAGATCGAGATCGACTTTGAAACGCTGAAGCCGTCCACGCTGAAGGAGCTGGAGCGCTACGTCATGACGTGCCTGAGGAAGAAGCCCCGCAAGCCTTACGGTGAGCAAGGTAGAAGAAACCCTTTAATAAATATATCTGCACGTTGTTGTTCAATATCACGCTGAGTCTTCTTCAGGATTGATGTCATTCATCATTATATTGGGGGGGGTGAAATATGAACACAGTGCGTTGTGTGGACAGAATGTTTCTTAAGACAGAAAACAAATGTAACAATCACAGTTCATAGATCAATAAGACACGAACTGGGAGGCATTTAACGTAGACTTCCCAACACTTTAGTCATGTGACTTCATCTTTCCTCTCAGACAACTAGACCAGTTTCTCAACGAGGATGCAGGGACGGAGGAGTCTGATGACCAAAGTGCTAATCTGACCTGTAATCTACAGGAATACAGAGTCTCAGTGTTGAGTCTTGTTTCTGGAAATTTAATGGTCTGAAAAGCTTTTTTTTTTTTTTTTTTTTTTTTTTTTTTTTTTGGTCATATTTAGATCAGGACTGCACATTATACCCTGATATCATTGAGCACAATGTCAAAAAGACAATGAACTGCTTGGACTGCAACAAATTATAGATTACATGTTTTAATATTTATACTTGCGGTACCACACATTCATGTTCTGCATGCCAACGTAGTTGTTTGATCCAGAAGACGCCCGCTGCCTTCATGCCCACACCTGGTTTAGGTGAAGCTACACGCATCAAACAGCTGCCCACTTTAGCTTCAGCTACCCCCCCCCCCCATCTGCATCTAAATTTGTGATCAATATTTGAGAGAAAAAGCCTGAATGTGTTCATAGGAAAAATCTTAGATGTTTGGCTTCAGCTCCTGAAAAACAGGAGCAAAAACTTGTTTATATTTCTGTTCAGTGTAAATACTTTGAAACGCTGTTTCACAAGCTACGTGCCGCTCATCATCATCATCATCATCATCGTTGTCCTGTTTGGCTCCGCAGCTGCAAGTAAAGGTGGTGTGGGCATGTCTAAAGAGGAGCTGACTCTGGAGAAGAGGAGAGAGCTGGAGAGGAGGCTGCAGGACGTCAGCGGACAACTCAACTCTGTCAAGAAACCCGCAAAACCTAAAGGTGAGCGCACGTCCTATCCTCCGTTACAAAACACAGAGCTCTCCGAACAAATCCTTCACGTTTATCTTTATATTCGTTAGAAAATCTACTTTATGGGCTTTTATAACGTTCTCAAGCGCAGCCAATAATCTGAACGTTTAACGAAGCTGGTTTCTTGTTGTCCCTGCCCAGTGGAGAAGCCCAGCGCTGAGGAGACGCACAGCCAGCCGTCACGTCTCAGCGGCAGCAGCTCCAGCTCAGACTCCTCCTCCTCCTCTTCCTCCTCCTCTTCATCAGACAGCAGCGATTCCGACTCCAGTTGAGATCCTTCACTAAAGCCTACGAGACGAAGCACTCAGGGACCTGGGCGGGCCCAGAACTGGTTACACCCTGAAACCATTCGACTAAAACACTTGATGTGGAATTTGTTACAAGCGAGAGACTAAAAGACGTAAAACCCAAATAATAAATGCCTTGGCTCCCCCCCCCCCCCACCCCGCTTTGTAAATAACTGTAAAAAATGTATGTTTCTTTTATAAAGAAGATTTTATGGTAATCCCTAAAGAGGGAGGAGTAGCGAAGTGGTTTAGAAAGGCAGGTCGGAATGAACAAATTGTTTCTTCGTCCACAACCTGAACCAGAATTAGATTCTTAGACGAAGTTCTGGACTCTGCGTTCACGGGCCTGACAGCTGTTTGCTCAAATATTCTAAGAGAAGTTTTTGTGTTGGCGGAGCTCTAAGCTTCCTTCTGGTGTTCAGAACCTGATCAGCTGTTTGGCGGTCGTCGTATTCGCTCCCACACTCGAAGCTGTTTGTGTCTCCGCAGCTCGTGGGACAGAATCCTGTACAGAAGTTCTCGTGCGTGTAGAAGAAGTTAAACTGTAACAAACTGAAACCTTTAGGTTGCACATTCTTTTAGAATATACAGATTTAGAGGTTGCAATATATTCTCCTGAGACCCGTTTTAAAGACTGATGAGAAATGAAAACCGTTTCCTCGACTTTCTGCACACGGCCCCGATGCTGTGCCTCATCTGGAATAAGATTTTAACGCCGGCTTCTGATTTCCACAGATCCTCTTTTTTTTCTTCAGCACATCTGAAGCTTGAAAACTCAGAAACATTTATTTTATTGTGAAACTTGGCCGGACGGCACTTATGAGCACCAATGAGGCAGGCCAAAAAACCCCCCAGAAACCTGCGTACAGCAGGTTTTCCTGATGGGGTTGTGAAAGTTGAATAAGTCGAAGCTGCTTTTGAATGTTCAGAAGAGATGAAGAGATGCTTGTATATACAGTAAAACCTGCACTGTATTTGCTGTTGCACAAATCAACGTGTTTCTGCTGTTCATCTTCTTTTTTTTTTTAAAGTCATTCCAGTTTTATTTTGTCTTTGTTGAAGCACTGCTGCCTCTGTTGAAGCCGGTTTCTTCCTCTTAGAGGGAAATATTTCTGTTTATCTGTGTTGTAGAACTTTTGTGGATCTGATTGACATTTCTAATTTATATTAAAAACATTAATGTGTTGAGCTTGACTTGTGATTTGACAAACAGGAAGTAGTTGTTTTGTTCTCATGTTATGATCTTTGCCCAGTAGGTGGCAGCACTTCTCCATCAATTTCACTACAGGGTGGAAATCTCAGCTGTAATCTGTAATTTACCCAAAACAGATTATTTTCAAACATTTAATCCTCAAATAGTTCTGTGAGGAAATAAGACGTGCATTTATTTTTGTTTATAATTTGCTCTATATATCTATATATGTATATCTATCTATATCTATCTATATATATATATATACATACATACACACAGTAATGGTAAATTAACTGTATTTAGCACATCTTAAGATATGCAAAGTACACCACAATCTGTGTCCTCATTTACCCATTCATACAGCACTCCACTAGATCTATACAAGGAATAATCAGAGTTTTATCACTCATACACAGATGGGACACACAGGCAATGAGGGGTTCAGTGTCTTGCCCAGGGACACTTCAACATGTGACTGGTGGAATCAAACCCCCAACTCTCTCATTGTAGGACAATCTCTCAGCCATAGTTGACATATCTATATATATATATA